GTGAGGGACTGCCCGCGGTGAGGGACTGCCCGCCGCTGCCTCACACGGGGCCTGCAGCTCTCAGAGCAGCGCTCCCTCCATGTTTGCGCGTTTATCTCTCTAAAGGTGAAACCAATGGAGGAGGAAAAGGAAGGCAGTGAGGAAAAAGATCACATCCCCCCGGAAGATGAGAGCAGCAGTACAGAGGAATGTCTCCCAGAGGACGAGGAAAAAGAGAAAGGTATTGTGTTTGGTCTACTAGAACGTGCTGGAATCTTTTCAGGAGGATTTTTTAGCATTTTATCTGTTTCAGAGAGCAAGCATGTTATCAAAAATATCCCATGGACTACAGCTAAGAACTTCACAGTGGAGATAGGACAGCAGCAAATTGAAGAACTGATTTCTGTGAGTCACAATTCCATCCACTCAGGAAGGCCACACTTTCTCACTGTTAAGAAGTATGAAAAATAAAAGCAAAGCACCTCTGTTCCTTTTTAGCACCACACACAAGTCAGCTCTACTCGACATAGGGAGTCTTAGTGTGATGTGTTTGTTCAACAGACATGGGACATTCATGAAAGCTGGCTTCACCACTCAGAATTTCTCGAGGAAGAAGAACTGAAGGACAGCAAGAGGTACCATTACAGAGCTTGCTGGGGCCTCCCAACACGCAGAAAACCCATCCCACGAGCAACAGCGAGTGTCTACTTCGTTATAGTGATCTCCAAACTCAAACCTGACGTAAGTACTCAGCAATGGTGGGGATGCACTAGTCCTTTAAGGGACAAGAGTACAGTGGCATTCCTGAGGCAGGGAAGTGCCAGGACAGTGGAGAGGCTGGCAAGGAGCCAGCAGCTCTTGTGAAGATGCTGACAAGGCCTGGACATTGCCAGAACAATGGCAGGAGATTTAGATGTGGCCTAATAGAAACATGGCATTGGTTGGCAAGGGGAGCAAGGCACAGAGCAGGAGGCTGGGTTAGTTCCCAAATCATTGACTGACAGAACTTGGCAAACAGAATCTGGCAGGATCCTACATCTGCCTTCCTGCTTTTACCATCTTCCCTTTCCAAGTCACAATTGTTCTGGGCAGCTGTAAGAAGGGCTGAGTAGAGGTGAGTTACAGAATGAGGGCTCAGTAGAGAGGGAGTGGCACTTCACTCTTCAAGCTGTTTCAGAATCCGTTTCCTGATCAGCCTGAAGTTTGCACCTGTACAATGAACTCTTGCAACTCAAGAAAAAAAGAATGAAATAAATTGCAGAGTAGACTTCTTACCTCCAGGCTTAAGTCATACTGAACCTTAGTGTTTCTACTTAACACCTATGGATCCCCAAATAATATTCTGTGGCTTAACCCCAGCTGGCAACTAAGCATCAGAGCTGCTTGCTCACTCCTTCCCCACCACCATGGGATGGAGGAGAGAATTGTAAGTGTAAAAAAGTGTAATAATATTAAAAATAAATAGAGTAATAGTAACAAATTGGGGGAAATAAAAACAAAGAAAAAAACACTATGAAAGACAAGTGGTGCAAATAAAAACAATTACTCACCACTCACCAACCAATGTCCAGCCAGTCCCTGAGCAGCATCTTCCCTTCTGCCCCAACCAAATATCCAGGTTATTTTTAAAGTAAACAGTAGTTCTCACTTCATTACAATGTCTTCATTTTGAGGGGCTGTACCTGGCCTCTGCCCTGTCTCTGATGTGTTGCAGACTGCACCTGTGGAGGTGTTCTACAGACTGGAGTCCAGCAGGCTGATTCGGAGGTAAATGTTATTACTCTTCTGTTTTAGCAAGCTTTTCCATTCCAAAACCAAACAGGGAGCTCGATGTAAATAAGTTTGCAATAATAGCAGAGGAGTGGAAACTGCCTAAATCTTGCTCCATGAAATGACCCTGCTTATCACTAGCCTCACCCCCAGAGGCATGAATTGCCACCCTGTGGGCATCTGCATTCTCAGAAATTTGCCCTGCTTTACACAGTTTTTATTGCAGCAGATAGCCTTACATGGTGGATAAAGGCCAGCTCTCACTTGGCCAAACTTGGATTCAATATTATGCTTACAATCTACCTTTTTTTTTATTCCCTTCTCCAGGCCAGAACAGTGTGAGTTTAGAGAAAAGTGGCTTCATGACATAATTGAAAATAAAGTACTGTGTGCAGAAAGACTTGCTTCCCGATGAGCAGCTCCAACTCACCATTACCAGTCCTCTCTTGTGGAGAACCAAATAAACATGATGGGAAAAAAAACCCCTCTTCCTTAGCAGTATTTCTACTTTGTGGATAGATAAGAAGCATTGAACTTGTGCAAAATCATCTACGCCCTGCCATGGCAGCTGGCTGTGGGTGACAGTCCCTGGCAGGTGGGGACAGCAGGATGGAACCAGGCTCCAGAGTGTGAATAGGAAGAGGTAGCTGGGCAGGATTTGCTGTTTGTGAATGCCAGGTTTATGGAACTCCAGGGAAAACATTATAGGACTTTAGGACTTTTATTTTCCTCATATAAATATACAAGACATCTCTGTTGCTAGACTTAGAGGAAAAAAAAAATAAATTAGCAGAACAAAAAAGGAACAACCCATCTCTCAAAACCATTTTGTTTTAAAAACATTTGAGAAAAAGAAGTTCTAGGAGAGATGCTTGGAAATATGCAGTTGAATCAAAGATAACCACCACATAAGCACAGCCTGAGCAAAGCCTTCAAGGACAGAGTTTAAAGCAAGCCATGTAATACTGCTGAAACAGACCAAAGTAAAATACTACAGGAGTTAAAACAAGGGTTTAATCTAGAACACTTCCATAAATGAAAACATTTCAAATAAATTGAAAGATACATCCTTGTTCCCACCTGTGTACATCCAGGGGTTCCAATCACTGCACCCCACTGCACTGATGCCTATGTATAACATAGGAGAAAAAGAAGCAAGCAACTCAGTTCTTCCCCATGTGTTTCAGTGATTGAATATCAGAGCCTCCTACTACTGCTGCTTTACACCTCAGTTGCCATCTGCTTGCTCTAAAGTAACTGAAGCCCATCTGTATTAAATTACAAATGAAATTTACAAATATGTACATGTCTGGTTTGAATCACAAACCAAACTCAACTGTTTTGAGGAAAAACCTAAATTTAAAAGACTTGTGAAAAAATAGTGGACTGTCCTGGATCTTAAAACAGGAACTCAGGAGTTCCTTCATTTTTGCTACTGGTGCTAGTAGCTTGTTAAAGGTCTTTCCCACGCTAAATGATCTTACGATTAATAAAAATAAATGGAATAAAAAAATCACACTTATTGACTTTAGGTAACAAAACCTTCCCATGGGATCCTTTGGCTTGTTGGATTCAAAGTGAGTGCAGATCACTGACACCTCTAATCTTCCCCACCTGTTCCTGCCTTGCAGCCTTTCTCTTTGCAGGGATTCCTTGTAGATGGTAAACAAACCATCCAAGAAAATCTGATGAAAATAACTCTGTTTCCTTGACACAAGTAATCCACTCCTGAGCTTGGCCCTGTTGGGTGAAAGGTGCTGCAGCACCTGCAGCTCTTCAAGTCACAGCTGGACTGCACTAGCTGCCACGCAGTGCAAGCTATGGTGTACAGCTCACATGAAGCATTATTTCTCCTCTTTGCCTTTAGTCTTTCTGTAGACCATCTCTCGAAAGCTTGCAAGGATCTTATTCTCTCGTTTCCTCCTCTCCTCCTGGTTGAAGGATGCCAGAGCTCTCTTTTCATCTGCGCTGTAGATCTGGTTCTCCTTCCGCAGCCGCACAGCCTCCATGCGCCGGTGCCTGTGGGGGGACAGGGGTACATCAGCAGTGCCCTGGCACAGCTTCCAGCCATCAACAGCCCTGAATGTCTTCAGGGGCTTTAAATAAAGGTACTGAAGTACCGAGGCCTGAACAACAGTTGGGCTCTAGATGAACCTTCCAACAAAATGTTATATTTGTATCCACTCACTAAGGTAATATCCATGATCATTAGTGAAACATGGAGTGGTAAGAATATACTTGTCTTTCTGCATTTAGAGCCAGAGAAAGGCATGAAATCAGGCATCTGGCCTTGTTTGAAGGTATATGATCAAAGCTACCTCCCTTGGTTCCTCCTCGAGCCCTGCCCAGGCTTTGGGTGGAACCCAAGAGGACGATGAAACCAAATGTTCCTGCATTAGAAGTTGTGTAAGCTTGTTTATTCTACAGTCTAAAAGCTGAGCCCTCCCACAGTGAAGATGGAAGCCTTGCCTACAGGTGGACACACCATGTAGGAATTCCCAGGAATGCTTCTCCAATCCCTCACTGTGACTGGGGCTCCCAGCTCATGTGCAGATCTGGATGTCGGTAAAGTATAGGGTAATTGGTGATGTATCTTTTTTAATCACTCTAGGCAATCTTTTGCAGTAATGGTTAGGTGCATTACTTAGCTTATCCTTTGTAACTCTTTGCACTTTTGCACTGTAGCAAATTATACTTAGTCCTTGAAGTTGGTATCTGAATTTTTTGTGCTTACCCTGCCAACTGGCAAAACAGATATCTAAACTAGATAATCCAAACTGCACACTAACCTTCCCAGGAAAGAGTGTGGCAGAGCAAGGAACTGATTTCTGGGGATGTCTGTTCTCAGGCAGTCAGCCACAAGCCTCCCCTACACCCAGGGTGTCAGCTGCGGGCTCACTACAATTTAAGTGAGATTCCTGCTGGTCATAGAGAAAATGGTGCAGCCAACCTCTCACACATTGATTTGTCTCCTGCTGGAGACAAAGGGCCAGCACATCCCCTGGGCTGTCCAAACAGAGCACCTTTGAGCCACCTGACACAAGCACCTCTTCATCTGAAATAATTAGAAGAGTATTGCCTGTGAAGAACTGCTCTTGAGGACAAAGTGTCCTTGAAAAACTCACTATCCATCCCTAGCAATGGGGAGCTTAGTGTAGATTATTGCAAGCAGAGCACCTCCATGCTTGCAAGTAGAGCTTTGAAGCAGTCTTCTGTTCAGCCAGCAGAGAAAGCAGCTCTTGAAAATTCCACTGAACCAGTGCCATCATCAAAGCCATACCTGCTGCCACTCATGACATAACCAGAGCTCTCAAACGAAGCGATCTCCTCACTGGTCAGGCCGATTTCGCCTCTGCGGGGAATGCGCTTCCCTGCTTTGACGTACTCTGCCATGGCTGCCCCTTCCCCGGGCAGGAGGGCATGGCCATAGCTAAAAAACAAAAGTGGTGATGTCAGTAGCTTCAGACAGAGAGAGCCTGTGCTAAACATCCAACTTCCCTCTTCACTACTATATACAGCTGCATTTTTAAACACCTTCTTATTTTCTCCCACATGTTGGCCTCTTTCTTCCTTATGGCAACACCAGCAACAACATCTTACATTATCAGCTGAGTTCATTCTGATGACACTACAAAGTCACAATACTACAGATCTTTAGAATAAAGGCACTTACAATTGATTTTTATAGGAATCAAGGCTAAAAAGCATAAACCCGACTCTTCTACCCAAATTCAAGCCAGGGGAAAGCCTAGCACGATTAGAACTTCTGTCTGTGAGTTTCTGACACAGCATTTTTCCCTCTGCATGCATTATTGTTGCAACAGCCCTTTTTAACAGTAACTTTCACACCTGATTTACTTGATTTGATCAAAGTACCATTAGAACTGGCTACTCACTTCAAAGGCCTATCATCCTGAGATGCGTGAGTTTTGGGAGCCTCTGGTCCAATCAAACTGTCAGCTTCAGTATTTTCTGAAACAACCAAATAATGAGGAAGATTAATCGTGTGTCCATTGTTCTTTGTTAACAGAAGGGTTACACAGGTCAGCAACACCTAGCAACAAATTCACAAAAACGACAGCAAGAAGTTTCCACCCAAGTTTGAAGTGAGGTGAACCTACTTGACCTCTCTATCCAGAGATCATCCCCTTGAAGCATTTCATCATCGGAATCTTCGCTGCTTGAATCACTGGATTCCCTTCTGCTCTTCTTAGCTTTCTTTTTCTTAGACTTCTTCCTGTGATAAAGCCAGACAGACATGCTATTTATCAAAATTTAAGATTAAAGAAGGTGCTTGGAATCATACTCAAATAATTAGTTTCTGAAGCAACTAACTTTCTGAAGGAAGAATGGCTGTCTGCTGTTTCATATAAAACACTTTACAGCAAAGCCAAGACAATATATATGTTTTGACTTTCATAGAGTGTTAGAAAGTAGCTCTACAGGGAGTTGTTTGTGCTGCACAATTGTGTAGATTTAACTAAAATCCATCAAATTAATATTATTTGCCAGCTCTTGCAAATTACCCAAGGTCCTCAGGCTCCCTCAGGGCCTGCAAAGAAAACTGAGCTGCCCTCCAGCCAACAGCAGCCAAAATGACACAGCAACCATGACGCTTACTTTTTGTTCTTCTTTTTCCTCTTCTTGCTTTTCTTTTTATCTTCATCTGAAAAAAGAAAGTGTATATATTATCAAAAAGAAATGATTAGTTATAACTAAGTAGCTTACTGCCCTGTGAATAATATGTCATGCCTTTTACAGCCCCAGTGTTCGCAGAGCTGTGGGCTCTTTGACTCTCTCAACCCTAACCCTAAGCCCTAGCCATAACCCAAATTCAATAATAATGGGTTTTCCAGGTCAGAAAGATGTAGGAACAGCAATGCTGGGGCCTTGCTGGGATTGCCTTGGCATGCCTTTTCCAGTCCCAGTGCTCCTGGAGCCATAGGCTCTTTTACTCTCTCAATGCTAAGCCTAACCACTCCTCTAACCCTACTGCTAAAAATTACACTAACCACTACCTCTACCAATTAACTTAAGCACTACCCTAACCCTGAGCCCATTCCCAGCACTGACTGCCTCCACCAGAATGCCCCAGTACACCCCTGATGGGACTTGTTTATACTGGGAAGCGTTAGTAGAAAGCTCCCTGCAGTACTGGTCATATGAGAACATATCAAACACATCTCTGGCATGAGAGGCTCAGTGGATGCTAAAGTCAGAAACCCCCTTTCCTGAGGCCAGACTGCAAGCTGAAACCCTCTTGTCTTACCACTGGAGTTCTGCTCAGACTCTGAGTCACTGTCACTGTCCTCAGAATGTTTCCTGCGCTTTCTTTTGGATGCTTTACGTTTCTTCTTTTGTTTTTTCTTCTTCTTTTTCTTCTTTTCCTCTGGAATGTTTTCAAACATAACATTAGAGAACAAAGAGCATCTAGTTCCATATATATTCCCTAATCTTCCCCAAGCAATGCTCTCCTTTGAGCTGGAGCCCACCCCAGCCACTTCCACCCATCTAAGCCAGGGAACCTCCTGCAAGCAGCAGCAGCAGATTCTAAACCACAGTAGCTTCCCATTTTCAAAAAAGCTGTGCAAGCCAAACAAAATACCTTCTGAGCTGGAATCCGAAGAGCTACTCTTAGATTTTGCCTCTTCATCTTCTACCGGTGTGTGCTCATCGGAACTGAATAAAATAACAGTTTCCTACTTAAAATCTGTTTTGCTGTACTCAAGATCAAAGGTATACATATGGCCAAAGACATTTTGAGTCAATCCTTGCAAGAGAGTAAAATATTAAAGAACTAATTTAGCCTGGGAACTGCTGTCAGAACCACAACACAACAGTCACCTGATCTACAATAAATCACATACTGCATAATTGGTATTATTGGTAGAAAAAATACTAATCTCATTATACTGCTTCAGAAAGGAACTGATACAATAAATATTGTGATACCATGACTAACGCAGGGATAAAGCATTTTTATAAACTGAACTGATATGTAATTAATATTATAAAGAACATGAAGAAAGAATATGTCCTACTCTGGGTCAGGAACTTTTGGTGACAGTCCCCAGACTTCAGGTGCCCCCAGTTCTCCAATTCTCTCTCTCTCATTGAGTCTCCTGTAAAGGAAAACACTGTCACTGACGCCTAGTTTGCAACCCCCAGTACACAAACATTTTCAGTCCTACACGTCAGTGTTTCTAATGGCCTGAGTCAGCTGCAGGAAGGATAAGAAACAACTCGGAGCAAGGAGCAAGCTCGCAGGGCAGTCTGGCAGCAGAGCTCCCCGCACTGCAGAGGATCGGCGGCAGCCGCTGTTACCCCTTCCAGCCGGGCTCCGTCCCGTCCCCCCGGGCGGCCCTGCCCGCGGGGAACGCACCGAGAGCCCGTGACGGGGCCGTACGGAACCAGGCCCGGCGGCACCCGCCCATCCCGGGAGCGGGGCCCGGCAGGGCAGGCCCGACCCGCTCTCACCTCTGTCGCAGGATCTCCTCCTTCTCCTTCTCGTAGTACTCGGGCCATTTGCCGTGGTGGTGGTGCCCGTGGTGCGCGGAGGAGCGCGGCGCGCCGGGGCTGCGGGAGCGGCTGCGGCTCCGCCGGTGGCTCAGGCGCCTCGAGCCATTGCGCTCGCGGGACCGGGACCGGGAGCGGGACCGGCTGCGGCGGCCGCGGCGCTCGGAGCTGGCGGCGGGCGGGGAGCGGGAGCGGGACGCGGGCGCCATGACGGAAGCGGAGGCGCTTCCGGCGGCTTCCGGCGCCCTCCCGGCCGGGCGGGAGCGGGGCGGGAGCGGGGCGGTCCCGCCCGCGGGGTCACCGCCCCACCCGCCCGGCCGGCAACGCGGCGGCGGTGGCGGCGGCGGCGGCTCCTTTTGTGCCCCGCGGCGGCCGCCCGGTAGCGATGGACGCGCGCACGGCGGCGGCGGAAGGTGAGGCACCGGCGGGGCGCGAGCCGCGGGGGGGGGGCGGTGGCGGCGCGGGCCCGGCTCCGGCTCCGGCTCCGCCCCGCTCCGCGGGCACCGGCGCGGGGCCGCGGCCCCGGGAGCTGTCCAGGGCGGGCCGGCAGCAGCACCGCCCCGCGGACAGCTCACCGTGCCAGGCGGGGTTCCCCGTTCCTGCCCGCGCCCGGCGCCGCCTGACACGGCCCGGCCCGGCAAGGCCCGGTCTCGGTGTTGGGGCGCCCGGCGCCTCCCAGCGCGGCCTGCCTGACACGGCGCTGGCGCCGCTCCGCTGCGGCGGCTCTGGGCAAAGCTGACGGGACGAGGGGAAACGGCCCCGAGTTGCGTCAGGGGAGGTTTAGGTTGAGTATTAGGAAATTTTTATTCATGGGAAAGGTTATCAGGCACAGGAATAGGCTGCCCGGCGAAGTGGTGGAGTCAGCATCCCCGGAAATGTTAAAAACCCCTCGGAGATGGCACTTGAGGACACGGTTTGATGGTGAACAGTGTGCTGGCGCTGAGCTCACGGTTGGAGTTAATGATCTTAAGTCTTTTCCTTAACCTTTATCTATAAAGACGATACAAATTATGTATTCAGATAAGACACCCACTCTTCTGTGAGCGCCCTTCCTCCTCAGCTTTGACCACGTTGCCACGGAGCTTTCTTAAATGAGCCCCGAGTTTGTGCTCAGCTCTGGCAGTGCACTGTAACACGGCGGGTCTGGCCAGCTCTGGGTAAATGGGACATTCTGGACAGCGGCTCCATCCTGGGAAACCCATGCTGGTTTATGCTGTCTAGAAATTATGTCAGGGTATGCCAGTTCTTTTTCACAAATGAAACAGTATTTTAGCTCTCAAACCTACCATAAGCAGCATAAAAAATTCTGCAAGATGGAAGAAGCCTATTTAAATTGTGTATTTTTTTGGGTGCAAGGAACCTCATGCAGAACAGAGAGGGAAAAGATTTCCCAAAGATTGCCCATGTGTGTGGTGTTACTGTCGCCTGTGTCTGTGTGAGGACAGCACAGTTTCTCCCTTCTTTGGATTATTTTGACAAATAATTTTAAATTATTTTAAATCTGACTAAATGGTGACTAAAACATCTGCCTCAGGAGCACTCTGCACCTGTGTTAGCTAATATTGTTAGGTGACTTGAAGTGCACAAGTTATAATGTCATGCAGTACATAACAGCATCTACAACAACTACTAATGTCAATAAAAAGGATAACTGGACCCTTAATTCAGTTATATGAGGCTTTATATAATGGGATTGGCAGGAGAAATACTCTCAGAGATTTCTTCAAGGCACAAACAGTGGAAATTTGTATTTTAGAGTAATTCAGAAGCAGTGATGTTTTTTTGAAATTCCCACTGTGGACGAATATTTCTGTCCTTAAAGGTAGTCTTAGGTAGGATAATATTGAATTTCAATTTTATTGAAAACCCTTAACTGTTCTGCTTATAAAATTTAATTTACTTTAATGTAAAATACATGTTTTCATGATGAAGATATTACTATGTTACTTTGTCTCTTAAATTTGTCAGCTCTTTAAAAGAATTTTCTGTTCTCACAAAGTGGATTTTATAAAACCAAAAGAGCATCTCAAATTGCTTAATTGAAAACTTGTTACTGAATTGCATTCGTTTTTGTCTTCTGGCAAAAGCCTGCACATAAATTTCTTTAAATTTGTACTTCATATTTTCAGAGCCTCCATCCTAAAGTTTTTTTGATCACTTCTCAACATTGAGATAAAAGTTGCTATTGGGTCTCTTGTGTATTTTTTCAGTTCCAAGAAGACCACATGTAGTTCTGTATTCTAGATATTTCTTATCAATATCTTAGATAAAATGGTTCTTTTATACTGGTATTTATATTGTAAGGTTTTATGTGTCTTGAATCATCAAACACTTTCTTGGCTTATCTAAACATAAAAGTGGAAAAAACAACCTCTAAAATAGGAGATGCATGCTGAAAAAAAAAAAAAAAAAAGCATTGAAATTCAGTTTTTGGGTGCAGCAAGATGGTGACAGCTTCAGTGAAACCCGCTGAGCTGGGGAGAGCATTATCTGTGCCCTGACTGCAGCAATGTGACAGGGTTCAGATTTTATATCTGACAGAAGGAGTTGCCATAGAGAAAAGCTGCTGAGAGAAAGGTAAAAGCCAAGGAGATGGTGCTGCTCTCCCAGCAGCTTTTAAATCAGGCAGCATTTCTGTGCCTCAGAATGAGTGGTTCAAACCTGATTTTTGAGATCTGGTGATGCCTCAGGAGCAGGGATCCTTCCAAGTCAGTGCTCATCTGTAGCTGTAAATTTTCCTGTTAGTTATTTAGTATTGGAAGAGTTAGTGAGGAGACAAGTCCTTAAAGCTGGAGGATGAAAGGCTAAGAAATTGTTTAATTTGGGCCATCACACATTTTTGGAGGAGAAAAAAAGCACTGGATTAAATATTAAAACAACTACAGTATTGTTTTCATTTAATATAGGCTCCTGTGTAAAAATAATGAAGAACCTGTATCAAAGGAGAAAAGAATTGAAGGGTCATATGAGGAAGAAAAGCCCATGTTTTCCCTGATGAGTGTTTTCTATTATTTATCCTCATTCAATTGACTCTCTGGTAAAGCCTATAAACAGAAACTGCTTTTCTAACATTTAAAATCTGAAGGCTCACTTCAAAAAGGAACTTTTGTTACTAACTATACAAATACAGGGAGCCTGGCAGGTGATTTTCTTGCTAGAAGAAAGATTATTATGTATTTCTTGCTCATAAACCTGGGCAAGACCATTTCATTGCTGATTTATGAGGTGAAGGACTGCAGTCATGTCTGCTGGTGGCTGTGGCCTGTTATGTTTTCATTGAACTTGACAGGCCATTTCTTCTTGTCAAAGTTTTTGAATCTTAAAAAATCTTAAAATCAGGAACCCCTGTGGTTCAAGTCCACAGAATGCATGGGGGGGGGGGAAAGGAACAGATTAGTAACCAAAGACACAAAGTATCTTTTATGATCTCGGTGTTCTTTGAGCATTCCTGAACAGCAAGAGTTTCCAAGAGGCCGCGCTGTGGATGTATCACTTTGGTGGCCACATGTCGAATGTGCATTTGAGTCATTTTGGTCAAAGGCACTTTGTGTCACAGCCGTGCATGTCTGTGCAGCTGCTGGCAGAGTCTAACACGTGTCCCTGTGGCGCAGAGGATTCCAAACAACCGCTCCCGGAGGAGGAGCAGGGCCGGGTGTGGGCTCAGGTGTGGCTGTGAGCTGCCCTCGGTGCCGGCTGCGTCAGCGCTGGCAGAGCAGCACCGGTGCCCCCGGGAAGGAAATGACACTCGGCGGGAAATAGCGTCTGCACGGCGCTATCCGTAGGGCAGGTGCCGGCCTTTGCCTCCGCCGGGACGCGGGGAAGCCCGGCGGGAGTTGCCGAGGCCGCAGCAAGGCCCGTGTGCGGGAGCCGGGGCGTCCCACGGCCTGCGCTGGAGCGGGCTCGGGGCCGCACGCCCGGCACCTCGGCAGGCGGGGCGCGGCGTGCGGGCCGTGCGTCCCGGGCGGCGTCCGGAGCCCCACGGCCTCGGGGCTGCTACCGGCGGCGGGAGCGCGGGGCGGGCCCGGAGCGGCGGGAGCGCGGCCCGGCCCCGCCCCGGCCCGAAGGTTCCCGAGGCCGCTCGGGTCAGAGCCGAGGGCAGCGGCGCCAGCGCCCCCCAGCGGCGGTGCGGAGGGTCCGGAGGTGCGAGAGGCGGCGGGGCCGCGGCCGGAGCGCGGCGCAGGTAACGTGGGCTCGGCGGGCACGGCGGGCTCGGCTGCCCCTATCGCCCCGCTGGGGGCTCAGCACGGCTCAGCGAGCGGGGAGCGGTGGAGGGGCCGCCCGTCAGCCCGGGCCCGGTGCTGCCAGGCCGCTCCGCGGGCCTGCCGTTGTCAGAGCCGCCGGTCCCGCTCGGCCTCCGGCCGCGGACCGGCCGTTGCTGCCCCGGCGGCGGCTCCGCTCGGAGCGCGGCTCTCCCGGCCGGGCCCCGGGGTCGCGGCGCAGCCGGGCGGGACGCGCTCCCCGGGCTGGCGAGCGGCGGCCGCGGGACTCCGGCATCGGTGTCTCATCCGGCCCGGCCCGGCCCGGCCTGCGGAAATCCAAGTTTTACGGGTAAAATTAGAGCCCGTGGCTCGTTGTTCTATATTTTGATGTTGCTTTCTGCGGCTTACTGGGGGCTTTGATTGTGCAGTGATGGCAGATAGGTTGCTTTGACTTAGCAGATCTGTTTTGCTATGGTGCTGCTTCAGTGTCTCAGTTTGACTTACGTAGCCTTGCAAATATACGATATAGGGCTCAAAAAAGTTTGTTTTTGGGGAAGGAAAGGTTTATTTTTGGGGAAGGAAGTGCACTATCCATAGTGTTTTCATTAACTCAGTTAACTGGTAATATGCAGACACACAGATTCCTGTGTCTGGCTGTAAATAACTTCACACTATTGGGCTTTCTCATAACAATCTATGAATATTTCACAATTAAAAACAAATTACTAATAATGTTTAAAGCTGCTTTTGGGGCCCAAAACTTCCATCTTCTTGGTTTTACAATTGACCTTCCTTGCTGTTGCTTAGGATGAGGTGTTGCTTCTTTGTTCCTCACCTTGTAAGATCAGAGGATATATTCAGAATTCCACTTACCTTGTGGAGAAAGAGGAAAGGACAAACAATGATAAGAAACAAATTTGCGGGGTGCAGTGGCACATAATCTTCTGAACAGTATCTCAGAATTTTTTTTTCCTAAAGGAGGAGTAGACAGTAAATATGTGAGTGTTGTAATGCGGCTAAAACTGTAAATCTGCATTTTTACTGATTTGATATCTTTTGCTTTCCTTTTGTAGGAATGGAGGAAAAAAAACTTATTTCTGCAACAGACACACAATATTCTAGCGTGCTCCTTCAGTCTTTGAATGAACAACGTGGCCATGGACTTTTTTGTGATGTTACAGTCATTGTGGAGGACCGGAAATTTCGAGCTCACAGAAACATCCTTTCAGCCTCAAGCACATATTTTCACCAGCTTTTCTCAGTGGCTGGTCAAGTGGTTGAACTGAGCTTTGTAAGAGCAGAAATTTTTGCAGAAATTCTTAATTATATTTATAGTTCCAAAATAATCAGCGTCCGATCTGATTTACTTGATGAACTGATTAAATCAGGGCAGGAGCTGGGTGTTAAATTCATAGCTGATCTGGGCATCCCTCCGGCCGAAGGCAAGAATGTGCCCAGCGAGGTCAAAGACAGTGCTTCAAAAACTTCAGCTTCTAGTCCAAATCAAAGAGATGCTGAAACACAGGTGACTGTAATCAGGCCAGAGGGCCAGGAGGCAGCAGATGGGATGCCTGTTATAACACAGTCATTCTCCTTACACGGCATAGAATATGAGACTACAAAAATTACAGTGAGTGATTCGGACGAGGAGGATGATGATGTCATTTTTTGTTCTGAGATTGTTCCTCCAAAAGAATGTACTAAAGACAAAAACGCTGCAAGCCAGAGCCAGCCTTGCTCAAGTCCAGCTGGAGCTTCTGACCAAAAATCCTGTGGCAGTGGTGGCTCTCCCCATGTGACGAACAGCACAGCACCTCAGAACCTCACTTTGTCTGCCACTCAGCTGAGTCCGAGCCAGACACAGGCAGGAGCTGAACCATTCGCCTCAGCAACGCCGCAGCATTTTACTCCTAATATCATCGTGCTGAACAAGCCTCTGCTTAACTCCTCACTTGGTGCCAGCTCCTTGCATCAAACACATGTGACTCCTACAATTAATTTACTTGAGGAGAACCAGCAGCCATCCAATAATGGCTCTGTAACTGAAGTGGAAGCAACTGCTGTTGATGAAGAGGTTGTTGAAGATGATGTTGATATCATTAGCTCCTCTAGTCCTGGTGTGGTCAGCAGCAGCTCTTTGGTTCAGCAATCTTCTGTTCCTAAGGCAGGGAGCACTGAAGGATCAGGTGTACAGAAAAAACAGGTTGTTACATTTTCCCAAGAGCCATCTACTAAAGCTGGAGAACTGAAAATAAAAATCTCAGATGTCCTTTCTGGAAACAACAAGGAATTAAGTTCGGGTCTAACATCGAAGAATGTGGCAGATGGGCAGAAAATCATAACATTGGATACAGCAACTGAAATAGGAGGCTTATCCACAGGCTGTAAGGTGTATGCAAATATCGGTGAGGACACCTATGACATAGTCATCCCTGTGAAGGGCGACTCTGAGGAAGGGGAAGCCAAGCCCGATGACACACCCAAAAAGTCCAACGATGAATCTCCAAAGGGGAAACGCATGAAAGTGAAGCACGACGACCACTACGAGCTCATAGTGGATGGCAGAGTCTACTACATCTGCATCGTGTGCAAGAGGTCCTACGCGTGCCTGACCAGCCTGCGGAGACATTTCAACGTGCATTCCTGGGAGAAGAAGTACCCCTGTCGCTACTGTGACAAAGTCTTTGCCCTGGCAGAGTATCGCACCAAGCACGAACTGCACCACACCGGGGAGCGCAGGTACCAGTGCTTGACGTGCGGCAAATCCTTCATCAACTACCAGATCACCATCTCCCACATCAGGTCCGTGCACAGCCAGGACCCCTCTGGGGACACCAAGCTGTACCGGCTGCACCCCTGCCGGTCCCTGCAGATCCGGCAGTACGCCTACATCAGCGACCGGCCCAGCAGCGTGCCGGGCATCAGCCAGGGGGGAGTTGTGTACCGTGTGGGCTCAGGGAAGGATGGCACTGAGGGAGCGGCCTCCAACTCTCCAGCCAAACAAATCACCTGGGATGACATTTTCGTTCCGCAGGGAAATGAAACGATTTTTAAACAAAACCCGTCAGAAGGAAGTACTGAATTTGAGTTTGTGATACCAGAATCTTACTGAAATGCTTGAAATGCTGGAAAAAAGGGTTCCGTGCAGGAGCATTGCAGCTGTTTTAACTGAACTGTTGAAATTGCTGTAAAATCAAAGGTTAAAGTCAAAAGAAGTTAACTTGTACTACCAAGTAACCAAATGGTAACACTTAGATGGACCATGTTAACTGCAGTGCTTTGTGGAAGCAATTAATCAGAAAATTTACTTGAATAGAGAGTGAGACATTCTAAGGCACTATCAGAGTTTTCAGATATGTTAAATTTGATCAAAACATGAGGACTTGTGGCTTGAAAATGTACAATTCCTTCTAAAGAGCTAGAAATATTTCTAAACTAATTGAGGTATTTCCTGTACCCATATTTACCACGTAAGCCCTTTCTTTCATGTTAGCACTTTAATGCTGAATTCTGTTTAGATGTTAACCAAGAAAACAGTAAGATTTTTTCATCGTTGTCTCTTGGTCATGGAACCATTTAAAAAAAATAATCCCACAACTCACATTTGTGAACAAGGGGCCAAAATACATGATCCCCTACTACACTGGAGTAGTCTGTTTTTGAGCTAGCATCCTAATTCTGCTTTTATAAATATTATGAATCATCTGTCTTCATGCAAAAAGTCTTGTCTACAAGCAATACTCATTTAGGGCTAACTTGAACAAACTTTACTTACACTTGGCAGTGTGGTGAGCTAAGTATTCAGTGTCCTGGACCTTGTTATTTTACTCTTTTTGCAATGGGAAAAAACCAAACCCCACAAAGCTGAATAGTGAAGAAGCTTAGAACACTTAGGAAGGAGATAATTTTACCTTCTTACAGCTTGAGAAATATTGTTGCATTTTCTTACTGCTGGAAAAAATGCCAGTAATTAGTTTGATATAAAGTGCTGTTCCTTTTTTTTTTTTTTCACTTCAAGAAGAAGGGCTTCAGTCCAGAATTTTGAAATTATAAAAATATTATAATATATAATAATTATATTATTATATATTATAATGTTATATATATTATAATATATAATAATTATATTATAATATTATAATATTAAGTTTTTAGCTGGAGACTTCTCAAATCTATGAAGTCATGTAAGTGCTGTATTGGTTTAGCACTGAGGCTGCTGTAGATCCTCTATGCCTGTTTGGCTAGATCTTCAAGTGTAACAGGGATTTGGATTTCACCCCACACTTGTCCCCATTTATACATTTTGGAAGATGAGGACTAAACCAACAACCAGAAAATACCCTTTTTTCACCATGACCCAAAGTATAATTTCTTTGCAATTGTCTAGTTGTCAGGTGTCTCCAGGTTTGGGTTTATTATGTTGCCATTTTACTCTCCTTTCATTTGGTGCCTGTTACAACAGTTAAAAGATGAATTAGATGTCCTCATTGATCAGGAAATGGTAGAGAAAAACAGCTGTTTGCTGGAGTCCTAGTTTAGCATTTCAGAGTTAGTGACTTGTTGAATTTTTGTAAATGGTAATATGAAAATCCTCAAGTTCTAGAGGTGACTGGGAAAGACTATTGTGCATAGTACTAGTTATGGAAACCTTCAATTGCTTAAATTGCAGTTACAGGTTTCTCTCTTCTTTTTCATGTTTTAAGTTAGTATCTTGATTTTATGACTCTCAAAGGTTTTAGACATACAGCACTCTTCACAGAAAGGCACTTGAATGGGAAACAGTTCAAATCTAAGTTGAGCTACCAAACAATACCAGAAATCCACGTGAGCACTGCTGGGAGGAGGATTTGTTTGTGTGGTGCATGTGATGCTCAGCATTTCTTTGCCAGCCAAGAACATGATATACCTGATTATTTCCAGATCACATTGCTGACCCCTTTGAATATGATGGGTCATGCTTTGAATGTGGGGTGTAACTGAGGTGGCACTTCTGCAGGCACACATTTTCCTCATGGATGTGAGTGTGGATTGCCTGTGTTGCACAGCTGGCTGGTGCTGTGGTGGCACTTCCTCAACTTTGTGGAGACAAATGCAATGTTATTTTTGTTGTTGACATGACACATGTTTAATCACAGAATAGTCTTGAGTTGGAAGGGACCCACAAGGATCATTGAGCCCAACTGTTAAGTAAATGGCCTGTGTTGGGATCTGGAATTAAGCATACATTACAGAGTGCAGAATTAAACATAATGGCTATCACTATTTGCTGCTGATATATTTAAAACCTTAAATTAAACTGTGCCTAGTAAAGGTCTCTTTTTGGAGGAAAACTGGAAAATTAGGGCTTTGTAACTATTTTTGCTAGAAGACTCGTGCTTGCATGTGTCTCAGGGTCTTCAGTTTTCCTTGGAAGTGATTTTGATATCCAAAGTCCAGAGGTATGTAAAGCATTTCTTTAATTTCACTTCCAGTATTTATTGGTTTGGAAACATGTTAAATTCATTCTTTGAAAACTTTTTATGGGGCCATGAGTAAGCTTTTATATTTAGATTTCTGGCTATTGCACTCACATTTGTGTTTTTGTTTGTTTTTGTAAGCATTTAACTTCCAGTTTAACTTAATGAAAAAACTTTGTAAATATTAAGAAATTGGCTTTGGGATGATGGAAGAAAATGGTTGAATCTGACAAAGCATTTATATAGAAATGAAAAATTTCAACAGACTAAGGTAGCAAACCTCACAGTCGTTTGTTATGCATATAAAACCATTTACAGATCTGCTGCAGAATATGGTAATGGTGACTGCATCCTCACTGTCTGGTTTCTTTGGGGATACATACCATAACATTCCACTCTGTGAACTAAATGAATATTGAATAACATCTACTGCTTATTTATTTTGTTCTGTTAAGGCATGCAGCTTATGAAAAGATGCAGAAGCTGACAACTATATACATTGAGTTCTGAGATCTACAGCGGTTGCCTAGGAAATGTTCTGTGTGAACATTCCTTGGCTTCCCCAGTCTGTGGTGTATATAGTTGTACAGTCTTTCCTTAACATACTTTTTAAAGTTGTGTTCTACTTTTCATTAATCAACACGTGATATTAGTTTTTAGAGCTTTTATGGCAAAAATAAAAAAGTTTAATTCTCAAGGTGAGCACGGTATGTTTCTTTTTGGTGGCAACTCAGTTTCTGTAGTCTAACACATTTGTATCTTCCTTTTGCATGTCTTTGGGAATAGCAGGAAACCCAGTGTAGGGGGGGACGGGCAAGGTGGTTTTATTTGGGCTTTAGTTTTGTTTGTTTGATGCTGTTTAATTGGTTTTGTTGAACACTTTCCAAGAAAGCAAATCAGCTCAACAGCCCCAGTGTGCTGTGAGCTGAGTGCTGTGATAGATGGGCTGGATGGGAACTCTGAGGCTGTGCAACATTCTGACCAACTGTGGTGCTGCAAATGGGCTCAAAGTCAACAAACCCCTACCTAGGGACCAGTAAATTGTACATTGTGACCAGTGCTGTGCTTTCAGCTCACTCGTGGTTTGGGCTCTCCTTTCCAGCTGCTGATTGCTTGTGATTTGTGAGAGTTCCATTGTTGGTGACCTGGGGCCAACAGGAAATACTCAGTTACTTTGTGTAGACTTCTTATTGCATGTAGGAATGCAATTTAAGAAGTAACATACCAAATTATGTTCTAGATGCCTTTTTCTCCTTGGCATAGGGCTTCTGCCTCGCTCTGCTGACATCACCAGCACAGAATATGCCCAAAGTAAGCAGAGGGCACACCAAGACTGCAGTGGATGGGTTACTCACATCTGTGTTAAGTGAAAAATCAGCAGTAATAACATTAGAGGGCTTCAGGTCAGGGCACCATGTTATGGTAAGACTGCAGAATTATCGAGTGCAGGGGCATGAGCGCCTTCAAAAACAGAACTTAAGGAATTTTTTGCTAATCCTGGTAGAAATATGTCTCAAATACAGAGAACAGAGATGGGTTTTGGTTTTTTTTGGTTTTTTTTTGTTTGTTTGTTTGTTCGTTGGGCTTTTTTTTCCTTTGATTTCTTTAAATGTAAATTTTACTCACTTTTAAAAAATAACTTTAAAGGTGCTTGTAAAACAGGCTGCTAAAATGTAAAATAGAATTGGTAAATGTTTACAAAAGTCACACAATTTTATTTACTTTGGCAAAGTAATAAAAGGGTACATATGAGTCACAAACTTGACATTCTCATAAGAAATGACAAATACAGTGCAGGATGTTGCAGTTACATTAAATGCTTTGTTTTACTCAAGCAGAATGAAACAGGTAATTCAACAGAAAATACCACCAGTAAGTTTTTAAATGTGAAAATGTACTTGTCCTTTTATAGTGAATTTAAAGCAGCAATGTAATTTTTGCTAAAATATTCCTTAGAAAAAAAAGAGAATTTGGATAACTTCCTAAGGTTAGTATTTTTCAACTCAAAACCAGCGACACAATTAATCTCCTGATTGTTTCTCTGCCACTAAGTTATGTTCTTTTCAGGATGTTCAGTCCTGTCCTGTGGTGTCCCTAGGTCCTTCTAGCCCTATTTAGTTGACAGGCACAAATGGTACAGTGTTTGTCAGAAGTGGGACAGGACTGTTGGCTTTCATTTCAAAGATAAAGCAATAAAATGTTTTCTGATACTAAATTAATGTGCCCTTCTGATTCTAGTTTTGTGGGGAGCTTTATCAAGAGAAGTACTGTCTGTTTTGAAATTGCCCACGAGCTCTTCATCAAGAGATTCTTTACATTTCTTTAATTTCATAAATATAAAATAAAATGGAGGATGCCCCAGTATATAAATTTAGTTCCAGTACACAAATTTATAGGAGCTGCACTTCAACATTCTGTAGTAAAACAAAATGCCACCAGGATATAATACACTACTGCTTTAAATCCTGTGAGCTGCCTTCCTTTCTCCAGCTGTTCATTTCCCTCCTTACTGGAGAAAAGTCACGCTTGCTTCTGGATAAAGTGTCATCCTTTAATGAACTAATATACTGATTAGCATTTGACAGTGGAGATGATAAAGTTAATACATAGTCTAGCCTAAAGGCTTTGCAAATGCATAGGATTAAAAACAGCATTATAAAGTGTGGGTGTACTTTGAAAAGTGAGATCAGAGACTTCAGTGTTTGTTTTTCATGTTGACAGCATTTGAATTTTTTTTATAGAATAAAAGTAGGTGCCACAGCTTAAAATCCAACTGGATTCTCCCCCAACCCACCAGCATGTATTCCATTTTGATTCTGAAAGCCAGATTTAACTTTTAGGCACCTTTTTGTCTGCATCAGTTGCAAGTACAGGAAGGCAACTGAGGATTAGGGTCAACAAACTGATGCCAAGGAAATGATACCTTTAGGAAATAAGGAGTAAAATGTTAATGTTGCTTTTATCCCTGAAGTGAGCAGTTGAGAACGCTCAGGTTGAGCAGGTCAGATCCGAACACTGTCATCTGAAATCACTTCCTGCAGTAGAACCACACTTCAGAGGTCAGTGTGTCACATATCAAAGCTGACCTTTTGTTATGCAAGATGCATGCAAAATCTGCTGGAATCTAGATCAATCAGCACAGTTATCAGCTGAAGATTAAATGAAAGTCACAACAGTAATTGCAAATTCCTCAGTTTTGTCCTATATTACAGGGTGTTGAATTTCATCTGTGTGAGACTTATATCTTGGAGAACTAGTAGTGGATATTCCTTATGTGCAGCCCATAATACAGCTACTAAACCAGTGCTTATTCAGAGTGCTGATTCAGTCCATTAAAAAAGTTAAAAGTACAGGCTTAAAAAGAAATTCCCAACCACAGAAAACATAAACAAACAAACAAATAAATAAATAATATTTTTACTGCACTGTTTCAGTGACTTGTAGACGGTTCCTGATGTTTTTTATAGGAATACAAGGAAAATTTAGGCAGTGCAACCACCCAAACTGTTTGACTTCGGCATTACTTACACAGAATTCAGACAGAGACAACTCCATTTC